ATCTCCTGCTTCAGAGGATGCCCACCATGCAGGACTGGGTCTCCCTTCCGAAGGAAGCTCACCAAGCCAACCATTCAGTGGTTTTGGCACACTACTCATAGGCCTGCAAATATTTTCCATCCGACTTCCAAGCTACCGCACCACCCACCAGAGCAAGTCGCTCGCCCCCTGGGACCTCCCACAGTGTGTAACCTCACACAAAGGGCATGTTCCTAACCTCTGTGTGATGGGAGCCTTTCGCCTGTGGATGCCCTGGGTGGTGGAACCTATGGGAACCAGTGGAAGCTGTCCCTCACTCCTACAGTCCCTGGGGAAGCCAATGTGCTGGACCTCAGATCCGATGAGAACGACGGTATGAGTTCTCACTCATTTTGTTCAGCTTTTCCAAGGAATGTTTTTATTGGGGACTCATCATCGATCCAAGCACATTTGAAGAGGCAGGACGTTTGACACCACAGGCCGAGCAGTGGGTGAGCCAATGACGTTAAAGACCTTCGGCCCCCACAAAGCCGTGCCACTGAGCAATGAGTGCGCATCATCCACTCTAGGAGAGGAAGTCACCACGCCATTAGTGGTTAGCCGAGAACCTGCTCCTTGTGCATCTTGGAAATCCGAAAGACACCCTCACTCAGCATGCAGGGCAGAGAAATGCTTACCGTCCTGAGTCACCTGCCAGCACGTGGTGCACCGTGGATGCCAGGCCACATAAAATCCAGGACTCCATGTGGCCTTCGTTGCTCAGAGGAATGGAGTGTCTTCCTTCCAGCAGTTACACCACATCTCCCACAGCAATTGCCTCTGAGAAGTGTAAAGAAACCAAATAACACACTTGAGAAATGGGCCCAGGTCCACTGGTCAACACTTCAATCCCACTCTTTCCTGCGGGGTAGGGCGCACACCTGTTATTCCCCTGGCTTCCACGATACTTTACACGTGTTACTCTGTGGATAACTAAAAGCATGTGTGGTCACACACGCCCATTGCTACGTGTATTTGCCTGTGGTTCGGCATGCCTGTGTGCGTGTGTGTGTGTGTGTATATGAATGTATGTGTGTATATGAATGTATGTGTGTCTCCCTCACCACATGTGTTTCTGACACATGTGTTTCCCAACACAGCAATACGCAGTCATAGTCTGCAGCCTCCTGGCCTGACAACCCACCAACCCGACAGCTGAAGGACTTCAATCAGTAGGATGTAAATTTTGACATGGAAGTCATGCGGACATATAGGCCTGAGGTGGCTCGCCTACCAGCCACCTCCCCTGGTGTGAATACATGCTCCTCCTCATGGGACATCTGATGTCCTGAGCAGACACTCAGCCCTCTCAGGTGAGGCATACATGGTGGAAAACCAATCACAACCTGCGCTGGAGGGCGACTTTGCAATGGCCAGCACATCGGTCTGAAACTCAGCGTCAAGGCCAGAGGTGGTCTTCCCAACCTAGCCAAAGGACCTCAAGACACAGGCTTCCTCCCTCCACTCAGTCCATGTGCCTGCAGCATGCCCTCTGGACATACAAAGGGAATGGCTGCTTTTCCAACAGGACGTCCCCCAACCGATGTCCCAAGGACCAGGCAGACAGGACACACTGTCTTTCATTTTCCTTGCATTGGACACACCCACAGGGCTACCCTGTACTGACCTCTGAGGCAACATCCCATCATGCCACCAACTTGACTGCACTACTGCCTGCCGCAATGCCTGAAAGTCAACACTGCCTGAGCACCACCACTGGGTCTACATGCAGGCAGCTAGTGAGTGAGCTGCGAGCTCAGAACCACCCATCCTTTCCAACATTCCTAAGTCATCCGCATGCCCTTCAACATGGCATGGATGTCCTGGCTGCACTGAGACTTCAAACCAGTTAAGGGAGCCAGAACAATTCATCACCCCTAGGGTGTAGTGGAGTCCAACACTTAAATATTGCCAACATGCAGAGGTGCAAGGCATCCTAAGTCAAAGGACTCTGTGGCAGCACCCCTGGGATTGCACACACGTTGCATGGAATGCATAGACCTCCTTGGATAGCCCCAAGTGTGACCGGTGCCCACGACAGAGACTTGGGCCAGAGCCAGGGCAGGGCATATTGACTCCGGACCTTCAGGACGGAAGCTGCTTTACAAGCAGAAAAGAGGATCCAGAGCAGTATTTGCTCACATGAGCTGCAGCAGGTGGAGCTGCCCAACGATGGCGGGCCAAGAGACCATTTATAGGAAGATTTGTACAACGGAGGAGCCCATTACTCTCCCGGGAAGGCTGGAAGTGATCCAGGGCCACAGACACCAACTTAATCCTCATGCTCCCTAGGATCTGGCCTCAAAGACCTCTGCCAGCCAACATGTCATCCACCAGAAAAATCCATGGAAATTTCATCACCGCCAAAAGACAGCCCAAGTCGGCTAATGACACTCATGTCCATGTGAGCCCTCTATCACCTTTTCTCTGGAGTACCTTCCTGCTCAAGACTCCACCATTGCACCACAGGCATCTCACAGCTCAGGAGGCAAAGAAATCCCTTCCAGGGGGGCTCCTGTGACCGATGCTGCAGGGTGGGCTGAAGAGGCTTTCACTGTCTGCCAAGACACTGCTCTGCACTCTCCCCTATCACCTTGGCACTCCCCTGTTCTCAACTAATCAAAAATCAAGACCAAGGTCTGCCTGAGGTCTGGGCCTTGGACTCTCCTCCACATGAAAACAGACACCAGGCCTTCTGCACTGAGATGACCACTGTGAAGTCTGGGTCTTCCTTCTTCCTTCTGGGAGCTTACCAGCAGCACACTCCCCTACGCTGGCAACATTTCTGCCTGCTTCCACGGCCACCACGCCATCACAGAGCGGACGAATGCCCCATGACTCTCCCACCCATGTACCTCACACAGAGGGAATGTTCCTAATGTGCCTGTGACATGAGACTTTTGTCTGCGGATGCCCTGGGTGGTGGAACCTATGGGAACCAGTGGAAGTTGTCCCTCACTCCTACAGTCCCCGGGGGAGGCAACGTGCTGGACCTCAGATCCGATGAGAACGACGGTATGAGTTCTCACTCATTTTGTTCAGCTTTTCCAAGGAATGTTTTTTTGGGGGACTCATCATCGATCCAAGCACATTCAAAGGGGCAGGACGTTTGACACCACAGGCCGGGAAGAAGCGAGTTGAAGACCTTAAAGACATTCAGCATGCTGGGGAAGCCTGAGCCACATCACTGAGCAATGGGCACAGACCATCCACTCTAGGAGTGGAACTTGTCATGCCATTTGCTGCTGAGAAACAGCTCCTTGAAGGTCTAGGACATCCAAAAGCCACCCTCATTCAGCACGTGGAGCAGAGAAACGCTTACCATGTTGAGGCATCCACCAGCATTGGGTGTGCCGTGGACGCCAGGCCACAGTGACTGCAGGACTCTGCAGGGCCTCCATTGCTCAGAAGAATCAACCGTCTTCCTTGCGAGCAGGCGGTGGGCCTCCCAAGGCAACTTCTCCAGGGAATTGTAAAGAAATCAAATATACACTTGAGAAACAGGCCCAGGTACACTGCTCACCACTTCCATGCCATTCTCTCCCACGGGTCAACTAGTAGTGCAACTGCTTGTCCTTGGCCTCCATGATTGATCTCCAACTTTATGAATATACCTTACCCATGTCATTCTGTGGACACCTAGGGAGTATGTGTGGCCAGAACTACTGCACATGCCTGCTTCTGTGTCTATTTGCCTTTTTCTGTGGGCTCGTGTGTGTGTGTGTGAGAGAGAGACTGTGTGTGTGTGTGTTATTTTGAGTCTGTGTGTTGTTTCATTGTGTGTGTGCGTGTGTGTGTGTGTGTGTCCCTCCCTGGGGTGCACATTTGTTTCCGAACACTGCAAAGGGCCATCATAGGCTGCAGCCTCCAGGCCTGACCCTGCGGCAACCCGACAGCTCAAGAACAAGGTCTTCAATCAGTAGGATGTGATCTCTGACGTTAGGCCATGCAGACATAGGTCTGAGGTCCCTCGCCTAACAGCCACCACTCCTGGTGCGAGCACACGCTCCTCCTCCTGGGGCTGCTGATGTCTGGAACTGACATTGTCTCTGGCCACTCTCCCAGGTGAGGTGTACTTAGTCGAAAACCAACCACAACTAGCACTGGAGAGTGCCATCACAACAGCCAGCCCGTCAGTCTGAAACTCGGCATCAAGCCCAGGGGCAGTCTTCCCCATATAGCCAAGGCATCTCAAGACATGAGCTTCTTCCCCTCCACTCAGGCCTGGTGTCTGCACCATGCCCTCAGGACATCCGAAGTTAATGCCTCCTTTTATTACAGGATGATCCCTACAAGGACCAAGCAGACAGGACACATCACCTTCCATCACCCTTGCCCTGATCACATCCACAGGATTTTTATGCACTGACCTCCCAGGCAACGTCCCATCATGCCGCCAACTTGACGGCACTATCACTCACCCCAATGCCCCCAGGTGAACACCGCCTCAACACCACCACCAGGACTAATTAATATTGTCAAAATACCCACACTACCCAAAGTTATCTACTGATTCAGTATAATCCCCATCAAAATCACAATCACATTTCTCCACAAATAGAGAAAAAAATCGTACAATTTATCTGGATCCACAAGAGACCCAAAATGATTTCCAAGTGTATAACAAAGCTATAGTAATTCAAAATACTAGAATACTGGCAAAAACCAGATACAATGTAATGGAAAAGAATGAAGAATGCAGAAATAAATCCATGTACTCCACTCAATGTATCTTTGACATGGGTGCCCAGAGCACGGTTTCTCTAACTAATCATATATGGCATACTGGATATCCACAAATTAAAAAAAAAAAACAAAGGAAACTGTATCCTTACCTCACAACATACACAAAAATCAACTCAAAATAAATAAAGTATTTAAAGATACATCTTGACATTGTAAAACTAGAAGAAAATACATGGAAACCCTTCTTGTTTTTGTCAATCATTTTCTGAATATGACACTAAAAGTATAACCAACAAAAGCAAAAATACATAAGAAAGACTACATCAAACCTAAAACGTTTGTACACGAAAGGAAACAATCAACAGAATGAAACAGGAAATGCACAAAATGAGAGAAATATTTGCATATCATATATCTCACAAGGCTTTCATATGCAGGATGGGCATGGTAACTCATGCCTAAAATGTCAACACTTTCGGGGGCCATGGTTTGAAGATTCCTTGAGTCTATGAGTTTGAAATCAGCCTGCGCAACACAGTGAGACCCCCCCGTCTCTACCAAAAAAAAAAAATTAAAAAACAATTAGCTAGATGTGTTGGCATGTGCCTGTGGTCCCAAGAGCATGAGGTGGGAGGCTCTCTA